AAAAACTAAACACCTAAACCCTAAACCGAATAGCATTCTGGGCATTGCCACTGCGGCTTCCCCTGAGGCCTTTGATGGTCGCGGCTCTCCGCGCCGTGCCCGGGCCCTGCCTGTAGTCTCTACTTGCGTATTTTTTGGGGATGCTATGGTACCCAATATAGAGTAAGATTATATCCCCTTTTTGGGGTATAGTATTTTATATAAGGAATATTCTCTTACTAGGTTCAACCACCAAGAAAAACACTACTCACTTGAAGGGTCATGGGGACTTAATAGGTAGGTTACTACTGGGGGTAACTAGGGTTACCATATGGATTATTCGGGTCATTAACCTACTTATTAGGTCCCCCCCTGACCCACCAAGTGTAACCATGAGTTTCAGATGCGCCAATGTTTCTTCATAATATGCCTACCTAGAGATTCTTAGCATGCAGATGAGATTTAAGTTTAGATCAACATAAGCGCGTCTCCAAATTGGGGGTCCTCACTTGGTCTCTTGGGTTTAACAGTGCTTCACTTATTTGCCAGAAAGCTCAAGTGGCCTCTTATGTCAGCAGAACTCATGCTTCCAAGTCCAGCTACGGCAACCTTCTGGATTCCCCCAAACCCTAAATCCCTAAACCCCAAACCCTAATTCCCTACTAAATCCCGAAACCCTAAATCCTTAAATCCCGAAACCCTACATCCCGAAACCCTAAATCCCTAAACCCGAAACCCTAAATCCCTAAACCCTAAATCCCGAAACCCTAACTCCCTAAACTCTAATTCCTTAAATCGCAAACCTACTCCCAAAACCCCAAAACCCTAAATCCTTAAATCCCTCAACCCTAAATCCCCCTAAACCCTAAACCCAAAAACCCTGCGAATTGAGGCCAAGGCGCGCCTCATGCAGGCGCCGCTTCAGAGGAAGTCTCCCAGAAAGGGGCCACACGGTTTAGGGTTTAGGGTGAAGCACCTGACACTCCCAAGATATGGTAGGGTTTAGGGTTTAGGGTTTTGGTCGTCTCAATAAATGGAGGTTTCCCAAAATTGCAGAGTACCTTCTTGGGGGTCCCCATAATAAGGACTATGATATTTTGGGGTCTATATTTTGCGGTCCCCCTATTTGGGGAAATTACCAAATAGGGGACCGCAATATGTACTCCCATATAGTATGTATCTTCTTATTTACAGTACACCCAAAAGGTACCCCTATGTCTGGGAAGCCCCCATATCCTATGGATCTTTAGGATTTAGGGTTTAGGGTTTAGGGATTAGGGTTGAGGGATTTAAGGATTTAGGGTTTTAGGGTTTTGGGAGTAGGGATTGAGGGTTTGGGGTGAACTGCCTGACACTCCCAAGATATGGTATTAGGGTTCAGGGTTTGGTAGTCTCAATAAATGGAGGTTTCCGAAAAGTGCGGGGTAACGTATTTGGGGTCCCCATAATGAGGACTATGATATTTTGGGGTTTATATTGGGGTCCCCCTATTTGGGGAAACGACCAAATAGGGGACCGCAATATGTACTCCCATATAGTATGTATCTTCAGGTACACCCAAAAAGGTACCCCCAGTTCTGCGAAGCCCCCGTATCCTATGGATCTTTCAGGATACCCTTCTACATCTGGAAAATACGATGTCTTCTCTACTAGTTGCGTTGGCATAGGCCTGCGGATGCCAGTGTGCCTGTGCGGCGCAGCGATATCCTGGCACATCTGCGCAGCCGGGGCCTCTTTGACTTGCTGGTTGTCACCAGGGAATAGATGGAAAAAATCAAAGCTCAGATGTGATCGAGCTCTATATGGTACTTTCCCAAAATACAGGATCCCAATATAGACTCCAAAATACTACAATGCGTGTTATGAGGGCCAAATGGTACCCCTGATTCCGGGAAACTCCACAGAGGGGCTGCTGTAGAGATGGCAGGGTTACACTCCAAGATTCCCTACTAACAACCAGCAAATTGTTGGTGCTGTTGATTGAGCCTAAACCCTAATCCCTAAATCCCTAAACCCTAAACCCTATTTCTCCGCTTGAGCCTGAGGTGCCTGAGCATCATTCGCCAGTGCAAGTCCTCGAAGCGGCCGGAAATGGCCAAGGCTTGCTGACAGTGAACTGCAAGCTTGAATTCATACGGCTTAGGGTTCTAGGGGGCCTGAATTCATGGGGTTTAGGGTTTAGGGTTTAGGGGCCCTGAATTCATAAAGTTTAGGGTTTTAGTGGGCCTGAATTCATGTTGGCCTCTCCCTTGAGCATTTGCTGAGGCAGAGAAGGGCAGAAGTATGGGCATCAGCCAGGCAGGTTGCGTGCGCACAGCCTGGCAAAGCCTCACAAGACGCGTTGGTGATGCCCCTAAATCCTACTTTGAGGGACCCGGGAGTTACTAATGGGTTAGGTAACCTACTTATAATGGGTTACAAGAAGGTTGTAATAGGCTTATCAGAGGGTTATATGATATTAGCCAACTCCAGGGTCCCTCAAAGTACCCTAAACCGGAGGCCTTGCGAGACCTACACTACCCAGAGACCCGCTGCCTGTCCGTGGGCCAAGTGGACGTGGCACCGGCCAAGGATACCGGGAAGCGGGCCCTCCTGGCACAGGCCTTGCCCTATATGTCGTGATTGGTTTGAATCATGATGCACTGGGTCCTTGTGTAAATTTCCTCCATTTTGGGAACAGTAATTTAGGCCAAGTCCCATGTACATGGGATGGGCTGAGATAGCAGTGATTACTTGGAGGGTCAGGGGACTAGTGTTACTATGCGGGTTGTAGGGATTTACCAACTACATACTAAGTGCCCCTGACCTTAAACCCCAAACACATTACGTGTAGTCAAGAGCAAATGATGACTTAAAGCGATTTAGTAACCTACGTACTAAGCCCCTTGACCCTCCGAGTACTTCCTGTGGAGGCTCTGAGCGCGGCTACTGCACAGGAGATGATGGCCTTAAGCACCTTGATTTGTATGATTGGAGCTGGATATGGGGATCCCCGTAAAGGTCATAGACTGGGTTGCTGTTAAGGAACTTCAACTAAGTTGCCATAATCGGTATATGTTGTAATTAAGATGGTTTCCCCAATATAGTACCTTAAATCCTTAACAGCGAGCAAGTATAGGTATATATAGCGATTCATGGGGCCCCGGGTTTCTATTAGGAATCCCATTCTGTGAAGTCCCTATAAGTAAGGATTGTAATGTATTGGGCCCCCTATTCGTGAAACCTCACTTTGAGGGACCCTGGAGTTAGCTAATATCGTTTAACGCTCTAATAAGCCCATTATAACCCCATTATAACCCATCAAATATAAGTAGGTTACCTATCCCATTCATAACTCCAGGGTCCCTCAAAGTGAACATTGGACCTCACAAGTTCCAATCTCGACCGCAAAGCTTTGATACAGCGGCTGAAGCCCCAAGGGTTTAGGGTTCAGGGTGTGAGAGAGTGCCTAAACCCTAAATCCTAAACCCTAAATCCTAATACTTAAATCCTAAACCCTGAATCCTAAACCCTAAATTCCTAAACCTTAATTCTTAAACCCTAAATTTCTAAACCCTAAACCGTAAACCTCAGCCTCAACCTGGGAGATCGGACCTCGAAGCTCAACTTCTAGACTTTTGGGTTCTCGACGACAGGCACGTAACAGTAACACGACATGAAGCTTCATGGGAATCCCTAAGGGTCCAAGGACCCAAATAATAGGGCTTTAGGGCCCAAATACCATTTATTTTATAGTATTTGGGCCCTAGACCCCTATTATTTTGGTCCTTGGAGGGTTCATGGGACTTTGTAAGTACTTAGAATGGGGTCTCTTGGAAGGGGTTTATAGGGCTATACAGGGTTTAGGGTTTAGGGGTCATAGGACTGAGTCGGTTCTTATAACTGGGCTTAACACCCATTTACAACCCTTACTTGGACTTATGTTGATTACCCCAGTTTCAATAAGTGGGGTGATAAGCCCAGTGATAAGTAGTTACTAAATCCCACGAACCTTCAAGTAAAGTCCAAACCGAAGCAAACGTAAAAACCTGAGCTCCGCGCCCCTGACATCAACTAAAGTCGGAAAATCCGTGAAGGACAGCAGACTCACGATGAAACCCTAAACGCCCTTACGAGCCAACCAGGCTTCAAAGGTGCGAAGGATACGTACTTAGGGATCTTTTTTCATCGGACAAGGAGCATCGAAAAGCCTTAAGAGACTCTGAGTGGCTTGAGAATTCGAAAGAACTTGGATAAGGTATGGTTTCATAAGGATATACTTAGGGGTTGTTAATCAAACGATGGAGAATGACATGGGAAATAAAGTGGAAGCTGAAAAGGAAGCTGGAGTTCGGTAGTGGTTTATCGGGATATATACATATATACTAGGAATATTCGTGAATGTAAACATGAGGTGGAGAGGGATCATAAATCACAACCACGTGTCAAATGCAGATCATCAAAACCTCCTCCAGACCGTTAGGACCTTAAACACAGAAATGTGGGCTTCCAAAAAAATAGGGGTATCCTTTTTGGGGTCCCTAGAATAAGGAGTGTAGCATTTTAGGGTCTACATTGCGGCCCCCCTATTGTGGGAAATTACCATATCTTGCCTAAATCCCGAAATCCTAAAGCCTAAAACCCAAATCCTGAACCCTAATCCCGAAAAGACCCCAAGGCAGGGCGTGGCAGTTGAAGTCGGAATCTGCAGAGAGTGATCGGCGCCTAGAAGAGGCCCAGCAAGGTCCTCCCAAATTATGGGCTTGGGGCTTGGAGCGTTTAGAGCTTAGGGTTGTTAGTAGGGATTGTACAGGGATATACAGGCTTTTATTTGCACATATCGGGACTATACAGGAATTATCGGGTATAACATTTGTCTGGTATAACGTCCAGTGTCGGAAGGGGAAATTCCAATGGAAAGGCAAGTGCAAACTGAAATGCAAACTCCGGGTCTCTCGGGATATGTAGGGTTGAGGGCTGCTTGTTGGTAGAGAGTGGAGGAAGAACATGGGAGCTACATTATGAATCAGGGCCAAGCTACTACAGGGATCCGTTCCTCCAGTTCCACAAGCAGTAAGAAATTGGGTTCGGGGCAGAGGGTTTAGATGAGGGACTGGGGTGGGAGTTTAGGGGTCTATGGTTGAGGCAAGTGGTTTAGAAGCTTGTGCTTCCTAAACACCCGACACTGTATGAGCTATAGTCTACACTCCTTAAAGGGGCTTATATAGGGGATTTTTTGGGGAAGTATCATACTAAGAGATACTAGGAGTTTAGACTATGGGACATATCTGAACCAATTGAGGACACCCCTCAAGATCTTGAGATTGCGTTCTCTGTCGAACTCTCCGCGTTGTAACAACCATGTGCGGTCCTTTGAGCTTCTTGTTGATTTTCACAGTCACGCTGTGAATTGGTAAGTAAGGCTCACACATGATATAGCCAAGATCTTTGCTGTGTTGTAATTAGGTATTTCTAGGTTAGTCTTAGGGAGCTTTTGTATGAATATGGGTGCATGTACAAGTAAGCAGTGTAGCCAAGCAAGTGAAGGCGAAGCAAGCAAGCTGTATCTATTTAACGGGCACGAGACGGCGCAACACTACGTACATAAACAGTCTGACTGGTGGTTAGTCGGGAATAAGGGCCCCAGTAAGACAGTAGGGTGTAGAGGTCGAGGGCTTCTTTCCGTCCTGCCTCTGTCAGGGCGTGGCAAAGGCGCTGAAGCACATCTGTCGGCGGGCCGAGAGGCCTCAGAGCCAAGATTTTTCCCAAAGGTTACGTAGCTAGGGTGATGGATTTAGTGTGTAGGGTTAAGAATCGCTGAAAAGGAGCTGCGTCCTCAAAGCTCTTCGGCAGCCGATTGCCAGCGCCACAGAGATTACGGGAGTTCTCTCCGATGAGGACACCAGCCAACTCTTGCTAGATTGAGTTACAATAGTATGTGCAGATGGTGAGTAATACGGTTTCCTTCTCATAGTAACCTAACTTCAGCCCCCTGAATTCCCTCTGCAATTCCTGTAGAATCCGCATAGATGCCCTACATAACCCCAGTTTCTATTTCCCCTAAGTCCTAAGCCCTATTGGAGGAACTCGCTCTGGAAGCTCGCTGTACACAGCTGGAGTCAGAGCTGGAAGCCTCAAGCGTGCCAGCCTAAGATTTAGAATTTGGGGCTCCTTGGTCAAAGGGCGGTGACATAGCGATGTATGGGGTTATATAGAGGATATATGGGGGTATATAGGGATAGATACACGCATATGCATGTGTATATATATATATACACGGCTATTTATGGATAGTACGAACAATCATGGAGAATCAAAAAGAAAATGAAATGGAAACTGCTGCCTCGAATTCAGACAGAAGGCGGGTTGGAGACATTACGTCGCCTGTCTTACTGGTGGAGACTAGGGAATATGGGAACGTAATCCCTATGTAGTCTCATTTTCCCAGATTCCCTACTAAGAATCAGCAAGCTCTCTGCAAGGACCGCCTGCAATTCTTGGACACCGTTGAGGCCAAGGTGGACATGCTGGTGTCCGAATGGCAGCCGCACTCGCTGAAGGATCCAAACCCTAAACCCTGAACAGCTGAGTGTGTGTGTGTGTGTTTGTGTCAAGTTTGTCCCACTTCAGTCACTTCAGTGTTGAGTTCCGAAGCCCTCAAAAGGACTTGGAGGTCCATGGGTACTGATAACTGAATCCTAAATTTCAAGTGCAGCTATTGCAGCCATATTGGGGCACTTTGTGGGGCTCGCAATTTGGTTATAAGTGCAATTAGAATTGGGTTATACGCATCTCAAATTCCATATACCCCCTAAATTACTTCATTCACCTATATATTCCCCTATAAAAAGCTACATAACCCTCTCTGGGCTCCTACACAACCCAAGCCGAAACCCTTACTGTAGATCCTAAACCCTCTATTGGCCTTTTAAGTCGCGTGGCTTTTTCAACCCTCAACCCTAAACCCCCATTCGGTGGCTGCCAGGACCTGCTGCACAATCTTTCGGAGGAGGCAGGGCAAGTAGAAGTCCAGGGTGTAGGATTTATGGTTTAGGGCTTAGAGTCAGGGATTATGATCTAGGATCTAGGATTTAGGTCTAGGGTTGGGGGTTTAGGCCTGAGGGATTAGCCCCGCTGATACTGGACAATCAAATGGAGGATCAAGTCTAAGTGGAATATGCGGAATTACTTCCCGCTGATATCACAACACCCAACTCCCTCATGACTACGCATTGGCATACTACATGCAAGGCTAGGGGCACTGAGTAAGTAGCTAATAATCCCTATGGTCCATATAGTAACCCTAGCCCTAGTCATGCCCAGCATTAACCTACTTATTAAGCCCACCTGACCCTCGAAGTAGGGGAAGACTGACACCCTAAACCCTAAATAGTAGCTTCGATTTTCTTTTCCATTATCCCAATATAACCCCCATATAACCCTGAGAGCTTCGTTGTGCAGGGGCGTGTGGTTCTCTTTAAATGGGAAGTGTTGGCCTGAAACGAGGAGTTTTTGGGATTCTACAAAGCCTGCATGACCCTAAGTACCTTCTGATTTAGGGTGTAGAGCCTAGGGCTTAGGGTTAGGGTGCTTACCCTGGCAATTATAGTAGTATGGCATACTAAGGCCATGCAGGATTTGTAGTATCACTAATGCGTAAACCTAGAATCTCTAGACCCGTTCACACATCCCCAAAAAGAGTTTAGGGTTTAGGGTTTAGGGCTGGTTGCAGGTGGCAAGCGTCTCTGCGATCCAGGAAGAAGGAACTGACCTCGGCGAAGGCTGAAGCTCTTGAGCACTGGCAATTGGGTAGTATTTTATTTGGGGATACTATGGTACCCAATACAGAGTAAGATTATATCCTCCTTTTGGGGTATTGGGCTTCATATAAGAGATATAATCTTAATCTTACTGGGTTCAACCACCGGATATTACTTGGCCGGTCATGGGGACTCAACCCGTAGGCGCATACTGGGAATAACGGGTTATAGTCGCCATTGACCTACTTACTAAGTCGCCTGGCCCTCCAAGTGTACTTCCCAATATGGGCGCTTCTGTAGAAGGGAACCCTCATGCAGACCGGGATGTAGGGTATTCCTTCTTAAAGAAGCTCTTCGAAGGCGGCCCCTTCTTCTTGGAGATCCCCATGTAGAATACTTAGGAAATGTCATTGCTTTTCAACTGCCAACAGCAACGCTCCTCCTGTGAGGCCGATTGCTTTTTGTGAATCAAGCCCTAAACACTGAACCCTAAGCCCTCAAGCCTAAACCATATGGGCTTAACCCTAAACCCTATACCTTACACCGTACAACTGAACCAAAAAAACCTAAACCCTAAACCTTTGGAAGGTTTCGAGCAATGCCTTGAACGACTTGGCTTGGTGAGCTCTTGGCTTAACCGAACCCTTTGCCAGCTGGAGGCGCATGTCAAACTTATTGGGAGTAGGGAATAAGGGAATATATTGTATTATATAGGGATTATATGGGGACATCTAGGGATTCTACAGGTGTTATACAGGGGTTACGTAGAGATTGTATAGGGGTTTGTTCTAAAGGGATTTTGTTCCTTTATTCCCTACTGAGCCCCAGTAAGCAGAGGAGTTCAGGGACCCCTTGCATTCTCGAGCTTGCCTACCAGGAAGCACGCCGGGAGCTTGCCGAGAAAGAGAAGGCTGCAGCGTCATGCGCGTTCCTGGGAGAGCAACTTAAATTCTATTACTATAAAAAGGGTATATAGGGTTTAGGGTTTGGGGTTACTATATTGATATGGAAACCTTTTCGTTCCTATGTACCCATATTATGGTAACTTAATCCAAGATATAAGGACCCTGGTAGGTATATTCCCGTTGTGTTCCTACTATAGTCTTGGGGTTCCCAGTTTGAGGTTCCCAGTAAAGTCCCTTAACAGCAACCCAGGTTCTTGCATCTGCCGGGTGAAGCTCCAAACGCACAAGCTGCCTTGGCGCGTCTGCCATGATCCTGTAGGCTGGCACAGGCCATGTGTGCTATAGTCTATAAACTCCTTAAAAGGGGGACTACATAAGAGATTATATAAGGGAGCATTACAGGGCTTCTTAAGGGGATGCTAGGTCTCCTTAAAGGGGACCTATATCAGGAATTATGTAAGGGAGTATTATAGGGCTTCTTAAAAGGGGAGATGCTAGGAGTTTAGACTATAGCTCATGTATTCTTTAGCCGTTATGTGGGGCAGCTTGCTGAAGCGTGCAAAGTCCCCAGCACAAATTCGTTTCTGAGGACCCGGCGCATGTTGTGCTTCATGTTGATTTCTAGCTACCCTGAGCATTGTTCCGAGCCCTAAACCCTAAACCAAGGACTGACAGACTGCAAACTCTCGACATTTTCAGTGGATGCAAGCGCCGTAGACTGTGTCCTCTAATTCGCGCTGCCCTGCTCCTGGCAGCTTGGGGTGAGACTTGCCAAAACAGTAAAAGGCATGGCGACTTGGAGAGCCAGGGGGACTTAGTAAGAGGCCCTACAATTCATGTAGTACTCCTAGTGATCCCCATCGATAGCCTACTTATTAGATTTCCCTGACCCTGCAAGTAGCATTTTCTGCAGCAGCAATCAACAGGAAGCTGAGTGCTACGAGGTAAGCTGGGCCTCATTCATTGGACCCTGAACCCTAAACCCCAAATAGTAGTTTCCATTTTATTTTCCATTCTAGCAATTTAACCCAGTATAACCCCAAGAAACACCCCAGTAATAGCCCAATGGGACTGGTGCATGCTGCGAAGTGCAAGCCAGGCTGGCCACTCATGAGCACCCGCACTTAACGCCTCTACGACATTGTCCATGGTACACCCAGACATCATTAGCGTAACTTTTTGGGGGGTTCCTTACAATAAGGATTATCGTATTTTGGGTCTATATTGGGGTTCCCTACATCCTGAACCTTAAATCCTAAACCCTAAACCCTAAATCCTAAACCCTAAACCCTAAATCATAAACCCTAAACTCTAAACCCTAAGTCCCAAACCCTAAACCCTGATGGGCAGCTGGAAAGAGTTTAGCGGCATTTCAACGTAAACGCTGACGGGAGCCCGGCTCCCTGCCGTTGCGGGGATGTCGGTGCCACACAGCCCGTTGGGGACTGAGCTCGTGCAACAAAAGGGCAATGCTGGGACGCGCCGCCATCTAGGGTGTAGGGTTTAGGGTTTGATATATAGGGAATTATATCAGGGACCATTAAAGGGGTTATTACAATATTACAATTCAGGTTCAGGCGCCCCGCTTCCTACTTGCTCGCAACTTTCTTTAAGGGCAGAGTAACCGCAGTAACAATGCCTAGGACGGTATGTTGATGCACGAGACACATCTGTTCGAGGTCGCTATCCCGCGCTTCATCACTGGATGCCGCAGCCCTCGTCACAGGGTGGTTTCACAGCATTGTGGAATGGGTTGCATGCATGGTCCTGAACCTGTGAGTGGCTGGAAAGTCTTGTTGAAAACTGAACTCCCGTGCCTCAGGGAAGTCTTGAAAGTTTGCCCCCGCTGAGCCTTCTGTGTGTGGAGTGAGGAGTTTGGAGGACGCTGGAACATGTTCGTCTGCACATTTTTGCAATGGTTTGCTTAGGCCGGTACGGACGCCGCCCGGTTCCAGGCACAGAGCAAGTACATGCAGAAAAAGTGCAGAACGCAAGCAGTGGGTGCACTTGCCTTAACAATCTGACAGCTGTTCCCATCCACCTGCTTTCTCGACAGAGCCTGCATGTCGCATGCTCAAGTCTGGCTTGGTTGTTATTTGAGTGTGTTGTGTGACATTTGCACTTGAAACCGATCTTTGCAAATCGCCGGCACTTGTTGAAAGGAAGCAGTCATCAACCACGCGCCGGGAGATGGATCGGAATCCTCCGAGGCGCAGTGTCCTGGCACCAGCACTGCTACACAGCTCTGCAATGTGTGAGGCACTGCACCTTGGAAGATCCGAGGATGAAACCGAGAGCTCGGCGCTCGTTGCTGGATGCCTTGAGATTGCAATGCCAAGCAAGATGTGTTGAGTGAATGCTACTTGAAGCCACTTGAAGCCACTTGAAGCCATTCGGGGCAAGGTGACCAGTGTGCCAGTAGCTAGGAACTAGCAGCTTTCCGGCGCCATGCTGAGGCTGATCGCCTCCTTAGCGATATGGGGTGCATGGGCGGAAGACCCTGCAGGATCTCCAGAGATGCTGATGCCAAAGCCTCTTGAAACTCCAGCTGCAGGGGCTTCAAATGCCAGCCTCACCACAAGCAACAGCAGTGTTTCCACTGGCACTGTGAGGAAGGAGCTTGCTGCCAAAGACGGCAGCAACGCCACAAGATCTGAGAGGTCAAACCTCCGTGGTGCTTGGGACCAAGGCTGGAACGGTGGCGGATGGAATGGAGACGGCAACCATCGTGGCAATGGGGGTGGCAACCATGGCGGAAACCATGGAGGCAACCATGGCGCTGGATGGGGTGGAGGTGGAGGTGGAAACCATGGTGGAAACCATGGAGGCAACCATGGCGGCAACCATGGCGGCAATCATGGAGGTAATCATGGCGGCAATAGTGGTGCCGGGTGGGGCGGAGGCGGCAACCACGGCGGTAACCATGGTGGTAACCACGGTGGTAACCACGGCGGCAATGGTGGCGCTGGATGGAACGGAGGCGGCAATGGTGGTGGATGGGGCGGTGGCGGAGGTGGCAACCATGGCGGCAATCATGGAGGCAATCATGGAGGCGGCCACCACGGAAACGGCAACGGTGGTCACCATGGCGGAAACCATGGACATGGCGGCGGCCACCACGGAGGCGGCCATCATGGAGGTCATGGAGGTGGCCATGGTGGGGGCAACAATGGTGGCTGGAACGGAGGCGGCAACGGCGGTGGCGGCTGGCCAGGGGGTGGCGGCGGAGGTGGTTGGGGCGGAGGTGGCGGAGGGTGGTATGACCCTTGGGGCCCCGGCCGTTGAGGTGGGGCTCTTGAGGCAACAGACATCCTCAGCCTTAGCCCACGTCAGCAGGTTCCGAGCTGCTGCGAGATTTGCAAGAAGATCGCTTTGGCAGCTTTGCTGAGTCACAAGAGCTTTTGACGGCGCCGTGCTGGGACCATCTGACCGTTTGCAAAGTTTGATCACATTTAGGTCATTTTGGTCAACAAGCGCGCTGTTGTTTTGCATATCAATTCAGTATAGCACTGGCACAGCGCAGAATCCAGGGCAGAATCCTCAAGTGATGCCTCTTGGACTGCATACGCGATCCAACAAGCACCACCAATAAGCGTGAGAGACCCAAAACAAGCTCCCGGAGGCACTGCTGAACTTGAGGTAACGCGCGTCTTGCCCAATGCCAGTCTTGCCTCTGGTTCTAGTAGTCATTACAATCTAATCCCCCATGATACTGTAGTTTTCATGTTCTTTCATACGCCTTCTTTCCCCACTACCCTACATGGACTTTAACGGGAGTCCTCCTATTCTATTCCTACTACATTCTTGAGGTTGCCTGCTCGGGGTTCCGATAAAACAGTCTCTAAAATAGACGCTAAACCCAAAACCAGGTAGTAGCTTATGTAACACCTATATAACCCCATATAGTAATATAGTAGTTTCCATTTTCTTTTCCATTATCCCTATATAACCCCTAATAAACCCTAAACCCTAACCCCTAATATAGTCGCTTCTGGGCGGGTTTTCTCCAGGCCACGAGACTTTCTGGGACAAGCTCTGCGCCATGCAGCACGAGCTGTCCGAGGTTGAAAGGAGCTTTGCCCGGCCCAGGGTTTAGGGTTCGGGGTTCAGGGTTTAGGGTGTAGGGTTTGGGGTTTGGGGTTTCGGGTGTAGGGTTAAGCGGGTGATTCATGGTCTGTGACTTACCTCCGATTAGAAGGGAGTGAGGGAGTGGAAAAGGTGAAGCTACTATATCATTGGGTCTTTGGGTTATATAGGGTCTATTATTATAAGAATCCATTCCTTCAGTCCTTGCTAGCCACAGGTAAGATGATAGGGCTGAATGCAGAGTATAGGGAGCAGAGGCCAAGAGTGGTGCACACCCTTGACTGTCAGGAAGATAAACCGTCACAGCTCACTCAAGGAGGTGTGGCAAGTAGTATCAATATGAATAATGTTATTAATAACAATCATAATAATAATAATAGTAGTAGTAATAATAGTAATACTAATAATAGTAATAATAATAGTAATAATGATAATAGTAATAGTAATACTACTAATAGTAGTAGTAATAATAGTAATAGTAATAGTAGTAGTAATAATAATAATAATATGAAGTTCTTGCCCCCGTTGTTGAGAGGCTCGGCAAGCCGGGTGTACCCGCAACCGGCACTGCTCCTTGAAGAAAAGCAGTCATAGTCCTGCAAGGTTTGATCGTGACTTGCGGGCACCATTACTGTTGCTGTTGAGGAACTGAAACTAAGTTACTGTTACCATAATAAGGAGCCCCTTTTGTTTGCTATATACCCATATTATGGTAGCTTTTTTCAAAAAGCTCAATAAAAGCACTCCCCATTAGCACCAGCTGAAGGTTGGGTGATCTTACATCAAGGCCGGCCAACATCTGTGCAGGGCTCAGTGTTTAGAGTGGTTTCCGTAAGTAGGGGGACCTCAATATACACCCTAATATACTATGATTATGATCCTTGTTATGGGGATCCCCAATTCTAGGAAACACCCTCATTTTGCAGCAATGCTTGAAACTCTGCGCTACACACCTGCTGGTACTCAAGGCTTATCTGGCAAGGAATGAAGGAACGAATCCTTATAGCAGTTCTATAATCATCCCCCTTCTTCATTCCTTCATTTCCTGCTGACCTGAGCTAACAAGGGGGGAGGCGGAGTTAGGGTCTCAGGGTTTAGGGTCTAGGGGTTTAGGGTTTAGGATTTGGAGGTTTAGGGTTGAGGGTTCAGGGTTTAAGATTTGGAGGTTTAGGGTTGAGGGTTCAGGGTTTAGGATTTGGGGGGGCTAAGGGGGTTTAGGAAGCCCTGCCCCAAATCCTTCACACTAAGCCCTCACAAAACTGATCCTGTATACCTGAACCCTTAGGACAGTAAGAATCTATGCTAAGGGTGAATGCAGGATTTTGTCCGTAGACCTAACGGAGCCCCATCTAATCCAATGGAAGGAAGCTTGAGCCCTACCCCAAACCCTATGAATCTTAAGAACAAAGCACAACGCATCTGCTTCCCCAAGCTCCATACCCTAATACCTAAACTCTAAGATCCTAAAACCCTAACCCCTAAACAACAAACCCTAGACCCTAAAACCCTAAACCCCAAAACCCCAAACCCTAAAACCCTCCGAACCTAAAGCCCAAAACCCTAGAACCCTAAAACTTTAGGACCCTTGGATCCCGAATCCCTTGGCTGAGGTTGCAAAACGCTTCCGAGCTTTGCTGCCGCCGGAGCTAGCCTCGGTGGAGCATGGCCTGTTTAGAGTTTAGCGCTCGAGACATCCTCAAAAATCGGCATTCTATGTTGATTTTCAATCAAAGAAAGGAGACTTCGCCTTTAAAGTAGTCTTGCTAGAGGGGGTCCTATCCGAACTGGTCGCGCTCTTGTTTGAGCAAAAGCTCGCTCGCGTGCGAGACATCCTCAAAATTTCGGGTTTGCTCACCTCTCGAACATTCAAAACTTGCGCTCCAGCGCGAGACAATTTGACTTTTTTGACGTCTTGCTCATCTTTACCCGTGCGGAGCATCCTCGAAATTTCGTCTAGCAGCAACATGTGAACAAGAAGAGTAACAGAAATACTTATAGTAATAGTAATACCAGTAGAAATTCTGTAGCCCCCCAAACTAGATCCCTCAATTTCGTTATAGTGTTCGTGAGAAAAGGAGAGTCTTACTTGGTTCAACCCCTGAAAACACTACTCTCTTCTTGAAAGTTATAGGGTTTATGTAGTTGGAGTGCAAGTTTGGGGTTTTGGGGAGCAGGGCAAGGGGCAAACCCTAAACCCATGGACGAAGATTGAACCCTGCGGCCAGGCCATTGGAAAAGACTCACCAGCCAGAACCTTGGGCCAAATCTTTTCGGCCAGACAGTGATTCTTGTGGACTAGAAGCCGTCACTCATCCGCCTTGTTAGGATCTTGTGCAGAAAAGGGGCTACTTCTCGGCTGGCTTTTTCACGTGGTATCGTAGCACCTGAACCTTAAGCCTGGAACTTAGGTGCGCGCGTCGGTGGTCACAGGCAGTGCTGACTCAAGGGCTAGTAACGTAGCCGCAGATTGACGCTGCGTCAGGAGCTGGATCCTGAAGAGTATGCTCTGCCCTTCTGGAGCAGTGTTTGGGGTCCTTTTCCATGGGAAGCAGTCAAGCATCCTGTGCCAGTGTTTTGTAGCCGTCATAGGACGTCAGAGGAGCTTTACTTGCACTCCTGCACAACCGTAGATGATGTGGGTAAGAGGAGTCTGACCTGTTCCGTGCATAGCTGAACAAAAGCTAGGTGGTGAGGGTCCCATGCCAGGATTCGAGGAGCGCTTCGCGGAGTCAGAAGTCTCACCCTCAGAACCGCGGCGGCCTCGAGCAAAGCCTCGGGCGCGCGAGCCGCTTCCAGTGGCCATGGCACCAACGTTCTGCCTGAGCGACACCCACGAGCGGAAGGCCCCCGTGGCCAGGCAACGCAAGTCACTGGCTGCAGGAGCCTCCCGAAGCCGTTTAAGATCCTCCCTTGCTGCAGAGCCGGAGCAACCTGCGGTCTCCGAAATCTCCGAAGTCCAGGTCGAACAGCCTCCTCCTAGCGAACCGTTGAGCGTTCCTGTTGATTGTGGATCCTTCAAAGATAAGGATTCCGTAGACGATCTGCGCGGCATTGTGAGCCTGGATGTGGACCTGGACACGCCTGCATCAGCCACATTCGATCAGCCATCTAAGGCCGAAAGCTCTCCCATCAACAAAGAGGAGGACATGTTGCTGGAGCTACAGCAGCTGGCCGCCTCTGTAAAGCTTGCACCTAGCGAGTCCAGCTCCGAGTCTGAGCCAAGGCTCGTTGTGGCCCAAGATCCCCGGGGTCATGGCAGCATGCCTGGCCCCTATCGGAGCAGTGCTGGGCCTGTGACAGACATCTTGCCGCGAGGTCCGAATGTTCGCGCAAGAACAGGAAGCGAGGAGCACGAAGACGTCCTCGCGTTGCTGCAGCAGTTGGAGCATGAAGACTCGGAGGAGCACGATGTGGGAAGGGTGTCAAGTGCAGAGGATGGAGACGAGGATTCGTTGGAGGCCGCGGAGGAGGACGAGGAGGACGAGGATGAGGAGGAGGATGAAGAAGAGTCTGAGTCAGAGGGCCCAGACCCCGCGTCTGAGACAAAATAGTCGGATGCGAAATGAAGACCTGATGCAACTGACCACCTTTGCGCGGTTGTAGCGTGCTAGTGCGGATTTCAGCATAGGCCATGCAGGACCAGAATGCAGCTGCCACTAAGCACTGCCGCAGCGTTTGGCTGAAGAAGTGATCAAATGATCATGAGTTCCCCTACTGTCCCCTTTTACTGCTCCGCCCAAAAAATCGTAGGGAAGTAGTAGGGGAACGCATGAAGCTATGGCTGCATGATCGCGAGGATGAGGCGAGAAGGCACACCGCACGCAGAGTACTGTTTCGACATGAACCCATAGATTCCGTTAGAATCGCCAACAGGGACCCCCAGACCTGACTAGAATCGCCTATGGGGACCCCCAAACCCCATTGTACTGTCTCATATCCCAAGGATACTTCGGCTTATACAAGATGTACCTATTGCCTTGCAGCTCATGGCTTTGAGGCAGCTGAGCGGCTTTGAACTTAACTGCCCGTTAAAGGATTCCGGGAGCATCCTCTGGAACGCATCATGCAAAGGGATTAGGGTTTAAGGTCCCTACCGGCAGTCAAGTTGAGACGGCTGTGCCGGAGCGAGGACGTGGTAGGGTGAAAAGCTGATAGGATTTCGCTAGCCCAAGCCCAGTGAATGAGAATTATCATGTGAGTCTTATAGGGTCCTTAATATAGATATGATACTATCATAGAACCCTAAACCCTAAGCCCTAAACTACTATCATATGATTCTTGGGTTCTTATTCGTCTGGTTGACGTTGCCATAGGCAAGGCAAGAGCCTGGGGGGGGTGGGGGCAGAGAGCCGTACTGTTAAGGTTTAAGGGTTTAGGGTTTGGGGGTTCAAGGGTTCAAGGGTTCAAGGAATCAAGGTTCAGGGTTCAAGGGTTTGGGGTTTGAGGGTTAGGGTTGAGGGTTTGGGGTTTAAGGATTAAGGGTTTTAGGTTAAGGGTTTATGCCTTCCTACGCACTACACAAGGGAAGTGCAGTGGGAGGTTGAGAAGAGGGGAAGACACAACTCATTAGAGTACTTTGAAGCAGTGAGGTACTGTGAGCAAGGCCATAGCACAACATGAGATATAGTCTAAACTCCTTAAAGGGTGTTATATAGGGGATTATTAGAGGGGATATAAAGGGAGATACTAGGAGTTTAGCCGATGGCTCATATAGAGATTTGAGGTAGCCTCCGTATGGGACAGACCCTGAAGAACCCTGGGCTCCCTTGCGATTCCCTTCGAAGGGCACTTCTTATTCTTCTGTCTTAGGTTTTAGGGTTTAGAGGACCTATTTGGGAGCTTCCTGATCCGAGGATTGGTATGAGTTGGTGCGTGTGGGAAGATTCGGCAACGACCCTAAACCAAATGAGGCAAGGGATGCTTTACAGGCAAAGCATTGCCTGACGGATGGCCAAAAAAGGGGAAACTACCATAGAGTCGTCTATAGGTATCCATTCCTTCATCCCCTAATACAACAGACCCTAAACCTTAAAGCCCCAAAATCTGAACCCTAAAAGCTGTCGCGGTAAAGAAGTGCTGCAAGGCCTCTCCACAGAGAGTGCTCATCCGCTAAAATGTTACATGTGTATATATATATATATGTATAGCGGGCATATTAGAGAGGGTGTATAGGATATTTAGGGGTAAACATGGAGAATCACATGGAAACTGACATGGAACCTGAGATGATCCAGTGGTTCACAGGGATTAGAGCTTCCGGAAACTGGGGGGGCCCCTTTTTGGGGAAGCCCCTATAACCAGTACTACAGGTTTATGGAAGTATATGTCAACCACTCATCCGGACTGCTGTTAAGGAACTTGACTTAAGTTACCATATTATCATGGGTATACCGTAAATAGTGGGGTTTCCTTTTTACAGTATTTAAACAAGCTCTTTAAGAGCACACAAGTCATGAATTAAAGGAAGCCCCAACTTTAGTCTGTGTGCCTCATTGCTTAGTGCCCGTAGGGTTTAGGGTTTAGGACCCTAAACTCTAAACCCCGAATCCTAAACCCTAATCCCTAAACCCTAAACTGCGAACGGCTGAAGAGGGAGATGTTTTTTCATCCCAGTGTAAGAAGACCAGAAGAGTCGGGAGCAAAAGCTGTCAATCAGCTGGCCTCTGCCTCATATGGGGGATTCCCAAAATTAGGGGAACCATTTTGGGGGTCCCCATAATAAGGACTGTAATATTTTGGGGTCTATTTTGGGGTCCCCTTATTTTGGGAAACTACCCATATTGCTATTATTTTCTAATACGACTATTACTACTAATGACGACTACTACTACTAATTACGACGACTACTACTACTACTACTACTACTGTTCGTACTATTGGGCTAAAGTCCTGAAGGGGGGGTTATGTAGGAGTTTAGGGTATAGGGTGGATTTAGTGCTTTTGGTTGCTATCGCTCTTCGTACTCGTACCATGATTACTATTACCATCATTCCTAGAAAGAGCCGCAGCAACAATGTCCAAGAGCCCCTGGACCGATGTAGGTTTTCCTCAGCCCAGATGTTCGTCTCGGTAGTTGGGCATTGCTGCACTTAACCCTAAAACCTTAATACATCGGCAAAAAGAATCTGCAAGACTTTGTTCAATCCTTTCCAGGATCCCTTGAGTTTTTATAGGGGATTATATAGGGGGCTATGCAAGGGTTTTATTGAGGAGGAGATTATGATTTGTTACCCTCTAACTCTAGCTCGCATAATATATTCTCGTATTTCCTACGCACCCCCAGTAAGTTAAGTTGCAAACTGTTTCTTGCGTCTCTTGCGCCATGTCTTGCTTCGCCGGCCTGACTGGCCTGGCAGCCCCCGTGATCTCTGGTGCAGCTGACCGTGGAAAGGGCCGCGGCCGCGTCTACGCGAACATCACGGAAACCGCGCCCCGCCTGAGAAAAGCACATGCTTCTGTTGCAAGCTGCCTCAACGGATCACAGTACACGAAGGGGCACGGGAACTTAAGTAGGTTACTCATGGGGTTAACTAGGGATACCATTCGGGTTATAGGGGTTGTTAACCTACTGGCCCCCCCCAAGTAAAGCATGGGCAAACACGATTCGAGCTCTCAACTCCATGTTTTATCTGCTGACTAAGACATGAATAATGTTAGCAACAGTAATAATATACTAGTAAGAATATTCATGACAATACATATATGCGTTGCAATATTCATACGTGTTATGAATAGCTACCGTCTGAAGAATAGTACTCAGAGCAACAATCATGATAATCGTAGTGACATAAGAATAGTAGAAGGAACAGTAATCATTGTAATATCATTTATAAGGAGTAATAACGAACCCCAACTTGAGCAAGAATTGATATCGAATTTTTTAAGTCTCTGAAATGACTGACGTTGTGCCCGCAAAAACCTGAAATCTCTACGGGCCTCATCTCAGAACCCTAAACCCTTAACCGTCTGCAAGAGCGGCTTGCGAGCTGCTAATGTAGCAGGCAGGGTTCAGCACGTAGGCACACACTTACTAGGGGGATTTTGGTAACCCCAACCCCCAAAATTAGGACCCTATGACCATCATAATACTATCATATTATGATAGTCATAGGGTCCTAATTTTGGAGGTTGGGGTTACCAAAATCGCCCTATTAACACTTACGGCATGGCCATGATCATTTATGAGACGATCTCAAAAAATCCCCGAATTAGGACCTGTTACTTCGTCATTTGAGAACGTTAGGGTCCTGATTTTGGGGGTTGGGTAATCGAAGTCCTCTTTTTGTCATTCATCTGATACTAGCAACACGTGGCAGCATCCCTTCCTTGTTTTGGCAGCTAGGAAATATGAAGATACACGCATATCAACATAGTCATCATGAAATTAGCTGGGCAATTCAAATCAATGTAAGGGTCTTGTAGCTCCAAGTTCTTGAATCCCCATGTAATCCAAATGTCCATTTCATTTTGCATTTTTTGATCAATTCTCCATCATTGGGGTAATTAGACCCGCTAGGGCAAAACAGGGGGCAACACCCTGCGAATAAATCCCAAAACCCTAAGCCCTAAACCCAAGTCAGGTGGGCAACACCCCATGTGTGAAGATTTCGGACGCGATCTGCCCAAAGGGGCGCACAATCTACGCGAAGCTTGAGTACTTCAACCCTCTGTCCAGTGCGACTGGACAAGGATATAGATTTAGGGCTTGGGGTTTAGGCTTTACAGTTTGGGGTTCATGTTTCAGGGTATAGCCTTTCAGACGATGTGTATCCAAGAGCCCCTTACCGTTTTTGAAATTCCCATTGTGGTGCAAGATCCTCTACCCTAAGCCCTAAACCTTAGATTCCATACCTTAGGCGGACCCCCTACCCTGTACTAGTAGTATACTAGGGATATAGTGGACCCTAAGATAATCCTTTTTATGCCTTATAGTCACTATTAATGGGTGGGGGGTCCACCTAGTCTATACCCCTAAACCCTCAACCCTGAAACCCTGAACCCTAAACCCCTGGGTCTGGGAGGTGAAGGATAGACTCGCTTGCGCAATGATCGAGGATGCGGAGAAGAGGGGCAAGCGACCCGCCAGTGCTAAGGGAGCAGGGGTGATGGATGGAACGGACGATGGTTGATGAAGACTGGGGGTCTTCTAGGGCACCCCAAACCCCTAAACCCTAAACCCCTAAACACTAACCCAAATCTCTTGTAGGGATCCACCCGCTCATGTCCCTCCTCATGAGCAACAAGGCATCGCTTCAGCCTCAGTAGCTTAGGGCTTAGTGTTTAGGCTTAGGGATTAGGGGTTTAGGGCTTACGGGTTCAGGGGTTTAGGGCTTAAGGGTTTAGGGGCTTAGGGCACATGTTACATTTCTTCTTGTTTGCCTGTCAGCATGCGTCAAGGAGCAAAGTATTTGTGCCGGAACGCCAGCAGACCTTGCTTCGCACACTTTTATGTAGTAGCTTTGGGAGAATGACTGCCTGACTGCCTTGGGCGTCTGTCAGCATCCCTGTCCATGTACAGAAGCCACTCCGAGTCTACATGTTTCCATCGCGC